TCAATGAAACAAAGCCTGTGTGTCATCCTAAGGACTCACCATGGTATAAATGAGGCAATATTAATTCACACATTCCATCCTCATTAACTTAGACCTGGAGTTAGGAAGAAGGAAGAGAAGGTATAGGAGAAGCAAAGGAAAAGATCACTTCTGTAAGCCCAAGAATGAAGAAGGGACAAAAAAGTGAGAGAGGAAGGGATGAGATTACAGAACTCAGATGTGTGCCTTCCATTAGATAGGTTGAGTGCAGCATTATGGGTTGGGGACTGTGTTTGATGCTCTGTTACTGGTCACCAAACACTGACCATGTGCCAGACACTGGGTGCCCTTTACAGATGCAGCCTGGGACATAACTAACCCAAAAGTGGGATTCAGAAACTGGTTGGGTCTTCCCAGTTGGTGGGGCTGGAAGATCCAGGATAATTTATTTAGTTGATGTGGGGATGAGTATGTCAGGATGAGAAAAGGGCCTTTGAGAAGGATGTCTAGGCATGATTCCCTGGGAACAGAAAGAGATGGAGAAGACAACAAGGTGCCTATTATCCTAACAAGACCCTGAGGAGCAAAGCTTGTACGTACTGAAGTACTGTCGGCCAAAGTTGCAGGGATTACTTTCTTTAGTGGTGGGTAACACCTAGGTTTAGAGTTGCTTCTAAACCCAGATGTTTGTTACTCAGCAAGGAAGAGTGTCTCATCCCTGTTTTTTTCATGAGTCAGGCTTTGATTTTGAAAGGACCGTGAGCTGCAAAGTCTGGGATACAGTGAGAAAGGTAATAGAAATTTCTTGAAATCATGTTGGGAGAGACTGTATGTAACCCCATGAAATGTGTGAATTCATATTGCCTGATTTATACCATGGTGAGTCCATAGGATGACATACACATATTTAGTTCCATGAGTTGGAATCAACTCAACAGCAGTGAGTAACCCTATGAAGCAGACATTATCCCAACTTTACAGCTGAGGCAAGTGAGACACAGAGAGACTAAGTGATGTGCTTAAGTGACCCATGAATAAATGATGGATCCATGATTGAAACTCAGAATTTTCTCAACTATATCTTTAATGGTGGTGGTTGTTGTGTGCGGTGGAGTCGGTTCCGACTCATAGTGACCCTGTACAGGGTTTCCGAGGCTATAAATCTTTACAGGAGCAGAAAGCCTCATCTTTTGCCCATGGAACAGCTGGTAGTTTCGAACTGCTGACCTTGTGGTTTGCAGCCCGATTTGTAACCACTATGCTACCAGAGCTCCTTATATCTTTAATACTAACTCCCAAATATCATAGTCAAGATTTCAACTGACACATCCATCTGTGATGTTGGGGAGACTGAGTTAATTTTTTAAAGTAAAAGTTATGGATAGCAACCACATCCTCAAACTTAGGAATTTCAGGGAGGAATTTTAGACTATCTGGACCATGTCCTTACCAGGGGGACAGTTCTAGCATTCTTTAGGGAGATAACAAAAAGAACAAGCTAAGCAGCATCTCTGGGAATAGAAAGACTTCCATACTTCCAGTGAAGGAAGAACTCATTGAATGACAGCTGTATGTTAACCCTTGGAACTGCAGAGAACCTTACAGTTTTCCAAGAATTTTCTCTAATAACATTTTCATTTGAAAGTTCACAACAACAACAACAAAAAACCCTGTAAATGAAGAACTTATGTATCCTTTTTAAAGATAGAGAATGAGGGCTTGAGAGCTTAAATTACTTGCTCAAGATCATATGGTTAGGAGGTATAAGCCCAGGATTCTTTGCCCTTTACCAGCTGGTCCCTTTTATCCTAATGGAATAATTATCTTTACATAATGAAGGTTGTTGTTGTGTAGCTGTATTGAATAAGCACTGGACTGATAGTTGCAAGGTCAGCAGTTCAAATCAACCAGCCATTTTTAGAAACCGCACACAGGGTTACTATACGAGTCAGAAACGACTGGATGGCACACAAGAGCAACAACAATGTAACCTGGTGTCATGACTGAGCCACGTAGAAGGCTAGACGTTAAAGTTATTCCTGGAGAGAGGCAAATAATCCAATGAAAGACATGACCCAGGACACTGGACCAGCCATAGAGGTGTACCTACCCATTTTATTTAGATCCGTTCACTTGATGGGCATATAGACCAATTATGCATTAGAATTTCTTAAAATGTGATACATGGAAAATTAGTTTTATTAGATGTTTATCCTTCTTCCAGAGTATCAGTGCATATTAAAAAGTCTAAAATATATCTTTCAGCAAAGATATTTAACTCTGTTTAACTCCAAATTTATTGGAACTCAATCAGTTTTAGGTGGTGGTGGTTATGTGCCGTGGAGTCGGTTCTGACTCATAGCGACCCTGTATAGGGTTTCCAAGTCTGTAAATCTTTACGGGAGCAGAAAGCCTCATTTTTCTCCTACAGAACATCTGGTAGTTTCGAACTGCTGACCTTGTGGTTTGCAGCCCAATTTGTAACCACTATGCTACCAGAATACTTATTAATTGCCTGTGGAAATGCAAAGAGATCAATTAGGTTACTTTAGTCATTGAATTAGTAGGTTGATTTGATCATCATGTGGATAAAGCCTTAAGGTTTTTCTGGTGTGTGTATATGTTGTATACCTTTTAAGACCCAATCCTAAATAATTGTAAATAAGATTCGATGGTAGTCATTTTATTACTTGAAGACCCAGAGTTAGATTGGGCACATGTAAGCATGCTTATGGAGTCCTGGTGTGGCGCTGCAGAATAATGCACTGGACCCAAAGATCAGTTTGAGCTGCAAGGTTGGCAATTCAAACCCACCAACTGCTCCTTGGAAACTCTATACAAGATTGCTGTGAGTCAAAACCGACTCGATGGCACTTAACAAGAAGAAGCATGCTTATAAATGAAAAGTGAAAGTCTATTATAATATTTGTAAGCCTTTTTAATGTTAGATGTGCTCCTTGGAAACCCTAAACAAGATTCCATTCCTATGAATGGAACCCACTTGACAGCACCTAAGAGCAACATTTTTACTGGTAATTCATGATAGAATCATTTCAAGGAAGACTATCAGTTTATCTTCTGTTTCTTGGTAGCATTACTGGTTTGAGATAATTTATCCATTAGAGGTCTTTAAAATGGGTAAGCCTGACATTTGAAGCAAGTCGTTTATCATCTTCCTACCTGTGGATTGCTGCAAACACTTGACATTCTTGATGAATGTTTCCTGAGACCTTTATGACTCCTATAATTGGAAAATATCACTAGAGCAAATTTCCCTCATAAAACCTTTTTATTCTGGCCCAACCCATCATGTTCATGGAGTGCTCCACTTTTTCTCGCATTCATTACTAGAGCTTTTTTATACCTGGTATTGCTAATGAGAAGGAACAAGTAGCTATGGAATGGCAGCTAGACTTTTGGGCTAGCTGAGTGACTTTACCATCAATGAGAGTTTTGCTAGAAGATTTGAATTTATGTTTCAGAAAAATGCCAAATGCATTCATGTATGGATGGATCATTGGAATAGTTTACTGAATAGCCAAAACTGTGAATATAGAAACTGTAAATGCTATAGAAACAACTACTGTTCTTTGGGATTTTAAAGCCCTCTTTACCTTTCACTCCATGCTACAAGGTAGGAGGATACTCTCGACTGGGGAAGGAAGGGCATACTGTGGTTGTTGGAACTCAAGCTCATCTTTACCATTGCCAATAGGATTCATTGGAACCTTAAAGCCACGGATATAGGCCACTTTAAGAAGTGATCTCTGTGCTTTGGGGCAAAACTTCAGTGAGGTCTTTGGTTAGGCTGGAAAAAGAATTTCCCAGAGTTACAAAAACATGCTTGCACTTTGATATTATATTTTAGCTCCCCAACTCAATGATATTCTTTCTAATATTAATCTCTGAGTTCACCTTTTCAGTGATTCATCAATTTTATCTTTGGACTTATAATATTAGAAAAAGACTATTTTCTTAAAATATTATTAAAATACAAGGGGATATTTTATTAAACTTGGTATCTCTCTCAATATGAATTCCATAGACATATATGGTTCATTGATAATAGGTTTACCCCACCCGAAGTAAGATGTTCAGGGAAAACAAGAGATGTTCAGAGGCTAATTTGAAGACAAGAAAAATATCATTCTGCTATGACTATGTGAAATAGCTGGGGGAGAAAAAGCAAAAACAAAACAAAACAACCCTCAAACATTGATCAGCCATCTTGCTTATATGGAAAGTACATCAATATTTAATCTTTGGCATTCTCTAGTATATTTTTTCGGGATAAATAATGCCATTTAACATAAGAGCAGATTTTAAAGACTCAAGGATAGATCTAAGTTGGAAACAGAATTGAATTTTTCACCTTAGGATTTCAGTCTGATCAGCCACTGGGTATTTGAAGACAATTGAGTGCCAATGGTCATTAAAGACATCTTGGTATTGATTGAAGAGGTGAGACAAGCTTACTACTCTTAAGAAATTCTACCTGAGCTTTCTGCTCAGCACTTTTACATGACTCTCGGTTGAAATTTCTCTAAGTCTCCCAGGGCCATTGGCCCCACAAAATCTCTACACTAAAACATTTTCTATCCAGGTAGTTCCCAAGTGCACAGAAAAAAGCTCAATAAATTCTTCTAAAGACCAGAGTAGTATGTATGTGTCTCATGAAAACTTGGGAATTGGTTGGCCACCTTCTGGGGGCATTTTGTGGCACTGTGCCTGCCAGTGGTTTAGAGACTAGAAAGTCACCTCTTCAGTTCTCCAGACTCAAGGTCTATTTATGAATAGTTACCATTTTTCCTTTCTCTCTTACTGGGCTGGGGATGGAGGTGGGAGGGTGTGGTGAGAGGAGTTCTGAGCAGTTCTGTAAAGTTGACTGTTCCCTGCTTGGAAAGAAGCAGGGTGATTGGTGTCATCACAGTCACCTTGTGGTGACATACGATATGACTGAGCACAAAGTGAGGTCAACATCTCTGTGTGGTAGGAAGGCCCTTAGAGGTGGGGAAGCTTACCTTCTTGACTTCATATTTAATGGCGAGTTTGATCCGGCTCAGACTCGGGCGGTGGTGGTCGGACCAGACTTGGAAGTTCACATCACCATTTAAAATCGCTTCCACCTCTTCTGTGTCTCGGCACAGGTCCAGCACGCCCACCACAAAATCCTTGCATTGCATAGATAACTTCCTGTAATCATTCTAACAGAATAAAGAAAAATCAGGGATGTGTCACACTGAGTCTCACAGATTGGCTTGTCCAGCACAGCAGTGTTGATCATCAACTGTTTACCAAGTGTTTGCTTACACAGTGCACTGCAACCAGTGGGATGTGCTGGATCCAGACAGTGAGACAGTTTCTCTTCACGCGACAATCTAGAAGATCATTTTCTCTAGGTCAGTATTTGTCAAAGTGTCTTCATGGGCTACATGCTTCAAAATCACCTTGTGTGAGTGCTAAAATTGTCAAGCCCTACACCAAGCTTATTGAATTAGAATTTCTGGTAATGGGGTTCAGGAATCTATCTGCCTTTTCACTTTGCTCTTAAGGTGAGTCGGATGCTTGCCAAAACAATTCCTGGGCTCTTTCTAAGCATTCAGTCTCTGCCTAATTCTGAACCATGGGATGAAGGAGTAATAAGGACTATGAAAATAACATTTCACTTATTTACCACCAACCTATAGTGGTGACTGTTCCACACAGAAAGTTTACTGCAAAGAGATGCCTGATATGCTAAAGTGAGGGGGAAAATATATACAGGTTTGCTTTTATGTTCTCAAAAATCAATTTATAAATTAGAAATTAAAAAATCAAATATAACTTGAGCCTAACAACGTATTTTCTTACCAAAAATCCTTTCTTACAGCAAATTATTAATTAATTTGTCTGTTGAGTAAACATTTTTAGACCATGACATTTTAATTTATTTTTTCAAATGAGTGGCCTTGGATTTGTCTCTTCCCCTCCCTATGTATCCCTTTCTTAATTGACTTTAAGAGGGTGACTTATTTTCCTACTGACATGCCACCATCTCTCTCCTCCAAACAGACTGCTGAAATTACTGATATTGATCCAAAATATTAGACAAGGTAATACTTCTTGCCACCCTTTTACCACTTACTCCCCCAAAATATTTACCCCTAAAGATTTTCTTGCTGGTTTCTTAACTGAAATAAGTCTATCAGAAACGACATAAAAGCTAAATGTTGCTTTCCATGTTAATCAGTGACAACAATTCTCAGAGTGGCAAAAAGGAATGCAGCTTTGCTGAATTCTTCAGCAAATAGACAGGAGTCTGGCAAGCTGCAGCAGCTCCGCCATTTTTCTAAATGAGTGATTTTTTGTGTTCTTCCAGCACTATTGCATCAAAATGTCACTTTGCATTAGAGAAAGGGGTAAGTAAATGTCTGTTTGTTAGAAAAAGGAAAAGGTTTAAGGAAATGTTTTGAGATGTAAGAGGCTGCCCTTTAACTTATATTTAATATATATAATTTAGGTAGAAGGAGTTTTCAGAAGTTCTGGATAGAAAAATTAGCTCAGGCAGATTGTTATGGAAAAATATCAGGAACAATATTAGGAACCTTCTAGTTCTTGGCACTTCGCTCAGATCTGGGTGTCACCACATGAAGAACTGTGCTCGGTGCCATCTCCATCCTTAACTTCTACTTACCAGCCGTATACCCTTCCTCTCACCCTCCCTTCTTCCCTTCCTGGCTACCAGGCAATGAAACATTGTTGTTGTTAGGTGCCATTGAGTTGACACCGACTCATAGCGACCCTATGCACAACAAATGAAACACTGCCCGATCCTGGGCCAACCTCACTATCGTTGTCATGCTTGAGCCCATTGATGCTGCCACTTTGCCAATCCATCTAGCTGGGGGATCTTCCTCTTTTTCTCTGTCCCTCTACCTTACCAAACATGATATCCTTCTCCAGTGACTGATCCCTCCTGACAATATATTCGAAGTATAAGAGATGAAGTATGGCCATCCAGGCCTCCAAGGAGCACTCTGGCTGCACTTCTTCCAACACAGACCTGTTGGTTCTTTCGTCAGTCCATGGCACTTTCAATATTCTCTTCTAACACCATAACTCAAAAGCATCAATTTAGCAATGAATAAAGCAACTGTGATCTTAGAATAGTGTGCAGGAGAAGGATACTAGGGATCCTCCTTGCACAAGAGTAATGCTAAGTAAAACTGACTCAGAGCTTATTCCAGCTAAGATGCTTAGCAGAACCCTGAGAATCAAGAGGTGGGAGGTTCAGGGGACACTGTGCTCACTAAATGGACAGAGTGGGTTGCTTCACTACATGGACAAGTTTAACTCTAGTAGCTGTAACTCAGGTTTCCAGAGTCTCAGCCCTCTAACCTATCAACTTTACTGTCTGTTTCTGGACAACAAGGGGTCCCCTAGTACTGATGAAACAGACACTGCCCTGTTGGCCAGACCAGAACTCATCTCTGAATATCTGTCTAGAGACAAATGAATGGGTGGGTCCAGGAAGATAAGTGGGAGGGACTTGACCCTGATCTTGTTGGGAGCTAGTTAGATTGTGCTGCCCAAGGACTTCTGCACATTTATGAGTTCAACACAGTTCAGAACAGTAGGTTTCCATTTCATGGAAGACTCACTTCCCTGGTTTTTTTTTCCACCCAGCCTAGCCACAAAAAGGGGAGACATGCCAGAACAGTCAAAGCAGGAAATTGTTTTATTTATTTATTTATTTATTTATTTATTTATTTATTTATTTATTTATTTATTTGCTTGCTTTCTGCATGAGACAACAAGTCTACTGGTATCTGTGGATGGCTGGCAAGGGGAGAGAACTTGGTCCTAACAGGAAGAAGGAGATGGCATGGATTTGGCTTCATGTTTACCAGGCCTGTGCTTACCAGAGAGTGCCATAGTGAGCATCTTTGGGGAATTATTATGATTATTTACTTATTGGGTCAACCCAGAGCTCTATGAACTTACCAAGCCACACTCTTGTTCCTTAATTTCACTAGAGAAGGTAGATGAGACACGTACCCAAAATTCAACGGTTGTACTTTTTAAGAAACATTCCTACACACTGAGGTCTGCTATTCCCAGTAGATGTGATGGTCACACAGGTGTTTTAATTGCATCATAATTCTCAGCCATAAAAAAACTCTTGGTAGAGGATCTATTACATTTCCAAACTATAAATGAGGAAACTGAGACTGAGAGAGATTAATTAATAGGTTAAATCTAGTTCTGGTCCTCATTTTAGTCACTTACTGAGTTTTGGATTACTCTCCCACATCTCTGAAAGTTTTAGCTCCTGGCTCACTGTTACCCTCTACGACATTACTGCTGTGGATATTCTTGCTGGTTTAACTATCCAGGAACATAACCTTCTCACTATCTTGCCCTCTCACTTTCTCTGCTAATGACTTATCTATCATTCCAGTAGTTATTTCCAATAACTGAAGCTCATCCATAATCCCAAAGTTAAGTTTCCTTCTGAGCAATACCTCCTATATGTCTGTCTGGCTCACTTCCTCTGGGATACCACTCAAGCAATCCTTTGATTCCACCAGACCTACAAGCCATTGAATACAATTCCTTGTTAACTAGTTTTCATCTGCTTAGGACCCTTGCTTCTCACCTTACAGAACTTAATTTCCATTCATTCATCTTTTCTGATGCAGGGGATCTAAATACAATCCATATGCTGATGACATTAAAATTTGTGTTTCTAGTTCAACTTTTCCTTTGATCTTGAATCAGTCATTATAATGATTCCTATACACATTCTCAACTCTCTTGTTGTCTACTTATTTCACTGTACTTATTGAAAAAAAGCTCCACTCAGTTGGGTCTAACTCTCCACTGCTCTGTGCCTGCCACTGCACAGTAAATGCGGTCAGGGAATACACAACTGCACTGATGAGCCATGCTCTAAACTCAGTAATACCAACCTCAAGTGGTCCATGGTGCTTGTGGGGAATTTTCTCTTCTACTCTTCCAAACACAAGAAGCTCTGGTAGCGTAGTGGTTATGAATCGGGCTGCGAACCTTAAGGTCAGCGGTTTGAAACTACCGGCTGCTCCGCGGGAGAAAGATGAGGCTTTCTACTCCCGTAAAGATTTACACCCTCGGAAACCCTGTACAGGGTCGCTATGGGTCGGAACTGACTTGACGGCACTTAACAACAACAACAACTCTTCCAAACAGACACTTCAGACCTTATCTTCTTCTCAATCTTCTAATGCCTTCTCTCCCTCCTAGTTTTTAGATGAGAACCTTGTACCTTACTTTGTAGATTTATATTTTATGAGAAAATAGAAACCATCAGAAGAGAACTACATATTCTCATATGAGAGGTCTTCAAAAGAGATTGTGGAAAATGGAATTAAAAGATAATGGAATTTTTCCAACGTTTTGAAGCTCCCTCATGTATTTGTCTTCATGCATTTGTGTTCATGTACTGTTGCTACTTTAGATGAACTAACTACTCCTGTGCCTATCTAAGGCCAGTTCTTCCAGGATATGCCTCCTGCAGTTTTCCTTTCTCCTGCATTGTCAATTTCCCCCTTTCTATACTGTGTCAGCATACAAACATGCTGCTATTTCTTTTGTGTTAAATTAAAATTTCTCTTAACTCCACTTCCCCCTCCAATTATTGCTCGAGTTCCATTTTACAGCAAAAACTCCTCAGTAGAGTTGTCTATACTCATTGTTTCAATTGCCTTTTTGTCCCAACCAATGAGGTTTTATACCCATTGAGTCTACCAAGACTGTTCTTGTCAAGGTTACAAATGTTTTTCAGGTTGTGAAAAATCAGTGGTTGATTCTTAATCCTCATTCTACATGCCCTACCAAATGTTTTGAGTGTAGCTTATTTACTTACTATTGCTTGACACACATTCTTCATTTGGCTTCCAGCAGAGCATATTGTAGTGGTTTTGAAATTCCTGAATGACAACTCTTAAGAATTCATTGTTGATTCATTCTCTACAAAGGCATGTCCAATCCTTGGAATTCTTTTTACAAAATCTATTTACATTCATTCATTCATTCTTTCTGATGCAACGGCTTTCAATGTAGTCCATATGCTGGCAACTTCAAAATTTATTTCTAGTTCAAATTCTTCCTTGATCCTGAGACTCATATAGCAAACCAATCTCTACTTGAAACCTTATATCTAATAAGCATTTTAAATGAAAACAAA